TTCCTTTGCTTTACAGACCTGTGAAGGTCATCAATGCGGGCATTGGTCACAGAGTTTTTTTTATCACTGTCATAATGTGAATGGTCGCTAAATGAGGGCTACCTATATAGACTTCATGGCTTGGGAATTAGTCACCTTTTCCCCCTTCCTGCTTCTTTTCATTTGACTTACTATGTACCTGATAAAAAACTGGAGATGGCATGCACATTATTCTGTAATCTTATATGGGCCAAACAAAGGTGCTGTTTTCACATGGACTTTGTATTCTTTAATGTATTGATCAGTTCTGGCTTTTTGTGTAATACAGTGGTACCTCAGGATACGAACTTAATCCGTTCCGTGACTCTGGTTGCAACTCGAGTTGGTCTCAAGTCGAGGTAAAGTTTCCCGTAGGGTTCAATGTAAATCCGGTTAATCCGTTCCGCCCTCCACCCGAATTTGGTCGCAACCCGAGGCGAATTTCCCCATAGGGTTCAATGTAAATCCGGTTAATCCGTTCCGCCCTCCACCCGAATTTGGTCGCAACCCGAGGCGAATTTCCCCATAGGGTTCAATGTAAATCCGGTTAATCCGTTCCGCCCTCCACCCGAATTTGGTCGCAACCCGAGGCGAATTTCCCCATAGGGTTCAATGTAAATCCGGTTAATCCGTTCCGCCCTCCACCCGAATTTGGTCGCAACCCGAGGCAATTTTCTCTTTAGAGCCTGACTCCCGCCAAACCTGCATTTTCTTTGGAGCCATGCTAACACGCACACCAAAAACCTTCACAAAACACCGCAAAACACCCCACGAGCCTCACCGAACATCTCCTTGCTACCGCGACCTCGCCCACAGGAAGCCGCGACTGCGTGACAGCAGGGAAAATGGCCGCGGATCCGGTTCGTAAGTAGAGGCAAGTTCGTAACCCGAGGTAAAATTTTCCTGCCGAAGCTGGTCGTAACCCGAAATGTTCATTAATAGAGGCGTTCATATCCCGAGGTACCACTGTATATGTTTCTGTGCCTTGTTTTTTTCTTAACCTGCTGTTTTAGTTTTATGATTACGAAAAGGAGATTTTAGTTTTATTCCATTTCTGATTTATTTTGGGAGCTGTTTTGGAAAGGCATTGGCTTGAATGATTGATCTAGCACAGTGTTTCTCAACCTTGGCAACTTTAAATTGTATGGACTTTACTTCCCAGAATTCCCACCCAGGTTCAGAAACAGTGGTCTAGCAGACCATCATGAATAAGACATCCTAGTTCATAGTTTCCACACCTCATGACTGAAAATTCTCTGGGTTCATCTGTTGCTTTAAACCATAAAAGGAGTTGAACCAACCATGACATGTAGTTTTCTCCACTTGATACTACCCAGGTATGCTGGGTTTCAACTTTCGGAGTTACTTTGCTGTCTGGGGATTCTGGAGGTTGTAGTCTTCAGTTCATGACACTAAATCATGTTAGCTATAATGTGGGCATTTGGTTTGGGCTTAGTGTAGTAAAAAAAACTATGCTTAAAGCTGTAGTTAATGTGATATACAAACCCAGCCATAATGTTTTCTGGCACTATTGCAGTGTGTGAAGAGCTACCTAGTAGCCATGCTTAGCCAAGATATGTATGGGCTTGAGTGCATGATATCTGAGTAAATGAAATCTGGGTTGCTCTCACTGTGTTGGTATTCCACAAAGCCTAGAAGGCCTGATTGGTTTCCCAAGCCTTGAGGTAAGGTAGGTGTGGGGCCCCTTGGATGTGTTTGTCTGATGGTTTGTTTTTCTATCTATATATTGTGCCCAGATTCCATCTTGTTTTTGGTTTGTATCGGCGTTTTAAGTTATTATTTATGAAACCCTCTGTCAGTTGGAATCACATGGTATCTAAATTGAATTAATTAAATAAATAGGCGTCTGAACCCAGTGTGGAGCATTCAGTATCAGACCAAGCAAGGAGTTTGAAGAAGACAGTCTTCTCCTCTGAACCCAGGACAGAGGGTAGCTTCTTTCCTGCCAGTCCGCTCTGTGAAGAACATCTGGTTGAGCATATTCGTAGGTATGCGTGGAAGGAAGCTCCATTAAACTCAGTGGAGTTTAGGGTTACCGCTCTTGGTGCTGTTAACAATGATATGAGAGTCTAGGTGGCATCTGGGACTAAATACCTTTCATTTTGCCTTTTTCACAACAAGAAGACATAATTCCTGGTAATGCTGTCATGCTACCTATGTTTCAGGTTGCCTAGATGGTACTGAGGGCACCAATGGACACCCTCCTAGGCAATCATCGAGTTACTTGCCTCACCTGATATTTTCTATTAAAATATTTTCATAAAAAAGTAGGAAGATGGCATGCTGCAAAGCCTCTAGCATCCAGGAATGCTCCTGGACCCCATCAGCTTCACGATTGGCTGCAGCCCAATGCTTTCTTGGACCATCTGGCCAGAAACAAGATAAGAGTAGCTGAGGTGGCTGATAGCATTCAGGTACATTTATAACAGGTGAAATTTCCCCACAGCAGAAGACTGCAGCATTCATTTTGCAAGAGCTCCCAGAACAAATGGTCACTTTCCAGATGTGCCACAGGCAAAAAGTTTGGGATTTCCTGGTATGAAACAGGCTCACTTTTTTCTAGCCCTGCTCTGGTTGCGTTCCTGAGTCTTGTCTGCTTTGTTGTGGGATTTTTGCTTACTTTAAGAAGCAGAATAGATTTTTGTACATCTCCAAGATAGGTTTCTTTCTTTGCTTTTAGAAATGAGTGATTTGGGTGGTTAGGTGTTTGGCTTTTCATGCTATGCATCTTGGCAAATTGATTTCCTTGTACTACTGGTATATGGCTAAAACAATATTGAAGTATGGAGAATTTCTGAGAAGTTTCAGGGAAAACACCAATTTCCTTTGCATTCAGCGTGCCATTAAGTCAGAAATCTTGATGCATAAATACGTATTGCAGAGTT